ATTAAACAACGTAAATCATTTTCTTTGACTTCTAAGTCTCTTATCATTAAGCACGAGTTTCTTTTTTGATACCATCGTTACAGAAAGCAGGAACTTTCATTTACTTCACTTTCTAATGACATTACACGTAGAAAGATTACAGATTACAGAGTTTCATCTATGGATACACCACAAAACTATTCTCGATTGTATTTCTGAATGCTATGTATAAAAAAAAAAACTTGCAGCTTACTCAACGATTATAAGATGATCACTAAGAAGTGTATTGCATGTCTAATGGTCTAAGCATAACAGCGCAGCCCCCAATTACTCTGTAATTAGACTGTAAGCAAGGGAATAAAACTTTGTTTTAATTTCCGAAACCCTTTATGTCCTGTTTTCATTTCATTTCATTACTCAGTCTTAAAAACAGCACCCATGGTGTTCAAACCGATTTTTTTTACATAGAAGACTGACACAGCTTCGCATTGTGAATCTGTTTTTCTAAGAAAACATGTCACCGGGTGAAGGTGGACTTGCCCTTATTCTCCTTTGAAAATACCTGTGAAACCGTTTGTTTACAAACAATGTAGACATGGACAGAGAGATAGAGATGCAGATGTGATAACCGTGCAGTGCCAGGCGAATGCACAACATTAATGTAGGGCTTTCGGGCTCACGTGGATTTGTGCCCTACACCCTGCGGTACCGCTATGTACATACAGTATGAACATGTTGTGATATTTAGAAATATAAAAATTGTCAATATAATGCCAATAATATTTGCTATTTTAGTTTTTCAAAGAAATGTTTATTTTTCAAAAGAAAATTAATGGCGACAGCTGGGTTTGAACACTTGACCTCACGGTTATAAGTCACTCACTTAAGCTATCACGCCACTAACTTATTTAGATATGCAATAATGATCATATTTGCAGAAAAGGTTAAAACGATCAATTTTCACAAAGTATATAAACGTACAGTAATATATGGTCAGAAGGAGCAGGTAAAAATGTTAGACTTTGATGCTTAAAATGTTTAGGGAGAAATGGATTACTGGTGTGTATTTTTTCTCTAAACTACCAAGACCAGCAATAAACAGTACAGTTTACATAACATATTTATGTTCCTAAATTAATATTGTTTATGAGCATCTGAAAGGCATGGTGAATTTGAGATTCTCAAGACTTACTTTGTATGATTGGAAACTAATACATGATCGGATCAACTAAATGCTGTGGTGTTACTTTTTGTCAATGAAAAAATAAAGTATTTTTGTTTACAAAGACAATTAAAAAGAATGTGGACCAGGGTAATACTTTGAGTTTACAGCCTGTCCAAGGTCAATCATTATTAATACTATTAGTGATATCTTCAGTAAAGACTTTGATGCATAAAATATTTCTGCTAAAGGTGGTAGGTTAATTAATAATTAAGTATAATTGCTTACACGTATATAGCGCTTTTCTAGACACTCCACTCAAAGCGCTTTACAGGTAATGGGGACTCCCCTCCACCACCACCAATGTGCAGAATCCACCTGGATGATGCAACGGCAGCCATAGTGCACCAGAACACTCACCACACATCAGCTATCAGTGGGGAGAGCAGAGTAATGTAGCCAATTCATAGAGGGGGATTGTTAGGAGGCCATGATTGGTAAGGGCCAATGGGAAATTTGCCCAGGACGCCGGGGTTACACCCCTATTCTTTTCCACAGAGAATCAGGACCTCGGTTTTACGTCTCATCCGAAGGACAGCGCCTTTTTACAGTATAGTGTCCCCGTCACTATACTGGGGCATTAGGACCCACAGGGACAGCAGGGTGAGCACCCCTTGCTGGCCCCACTAACGCCTCGTCCAGCAGCAACCTTAGTTTTTCCCAGGAGGTCTCCCATCCAGGTACTGACCAGGCTCACACCTGCTTAGCTTTAGTGGGTTGCCAGTTGTGAGTTGCAGGGTGATATGGCTGCTGGCTATATATATATAAGTTGTGCACTTTTGTCCAACTGAGCAATCTTGCTTTCATAAAATTACAAACTTTTTAATGTATAATGATTAACATGCCCTTCAGGCTGGATGTTGCCAAAGGTCTAATCTATCCAGAAAAAATGAAAGATGAAAAATGAAAGATAAATGAAATGTGCTATGATGGAATCAGCCACTCCCCAATCCTGTCTGTGAAAGGGAGATGAAAGATGTGTCCTGATGGACAGACCTCCATCATGTGTGAGAAGTGTAATATGAGGCTTTGCATTGTCACTGGACAAAATGCACACAACTGCTTCCCCAGATTCCATCTTCTATAAGATACTATTGAATATAAGGACGGGTCCATAGTATGGACATTCAAAAAAACAATGAACTGTTTCAATTTTGGGCCCAAATGAAATGGGGTTTTTATATTATTTAATTTTTTTAACACTAGAGTAAGTTTTGTTTTAAGTTTTAACACCAGTTGTAATTTTTGAAACACCAAAGCAAGCAGGGACAAGAGTGTGTTGTATGTTTGGTAATATTTTATATGTTTTAATAAAATACAGAAAGAGAAGTGAAGTTTGAATGGTTTTATGGTTCTTTTGACTATGTGAGCAGTTGCCAAAAACAGTTCGAATGTATACCACAAAGCGTAGCCTGTGGGATACAGTTTGTAAAATGGAAAATAAACAAACAGCTTTGAAAAAAGTTATGTAATTGTGTTATTTAAGACAAAATACACTAGAAATTTTTCATTTAAGTTTTTAAGGACTTGCGGATTAAAGGGTTAAGTATAGGAATATTAATATGTACTACGATACAGCGTGCACTAATACTTGAGTGGACACGAGCTACTATGTAATTCTATACCATTGTATAGGAATGTGTGCTACTAACTTAAGCGTCTAACTGTATTTAAAAACTTTATCATCCCAGCACATAGAAAGGTAGGAAAATGTGCATGGATTTGGAGCACTGACAATCTTGTGAGCACAGAAAACCGTGATAGATAACAGACAAATATGTAAGAACTGTTCTAGGTTAATTTGAGAAAAATACACCAAGCGTCTCTGTGTTTCGCTCCCATGTGCATGAAATAACTTCTTTTAACCTCTGAGATGGACTCCTTGTCACGCCCTTTGTAGCCAGAGGGCGCTCCTACTCTGTCCTGTCCTTAGTTTCTAGTGCTTTGCTGTTCTTCCGGTGTTTCCCTCTCTCTGGGGCTATATATTTCCAGGTCTCTCATTCACCGTCGCTCAGCATTGACGTTCGGCTGTCCCGAGACCTGCTTAGTTCCAGGTTGCCCCACATCCGCTGCCTGAGGGCATTGGTTTCTATACGACTCCTGAACTGCTGAGCCCGGGCTAATCCCCTGCTCTGCTGCTACGCATATGGGTCTTTTTCCACTCTCCTGCCATTCCATGGTTCATCCCTTCCGAAACAGAAATGGGGAAAAATGCAAGCTTGCAGATTGCTAAAGCAGGTAAGCCCCACACTATTTGTGAAGAACTTTGTTTACCGTTGGCAAAAGAGCTGACACATATGTGTGGTGAAAAAGCTGCTAAACAGCTCAACCTGCCGCCCCCTTCGAAAGACACAGTCACTTATGGAATTATTGATATGGCAGATGATGTCAAAGGTACGCTTATAGAGCTTGTTAAGATGAGCAGATGCTTTTCACTGCAATTAGATGAGTCTGTAGATGCCTTTGATTTGGCCAGTTTGCTCGATTACGTTAGATACGAGTTTGAGGGCATGTCCCATTAGGACTTTCTGTTCTGTAAGCCGCCACCAACAAGAACTACAGGAGAGCACATATTTCAGCTTCTGAATGATTTTATCGAAGAGAATGGCATCAACTTGATGAAATGCGTCGGAGTTTGTACAGACGGTGCTAGAGAAATGACAAGCTGACACAGCGGTGTAGTTGCACGAATTAGAGAGGTTGCTCCAGATATAAAGTGGACGCACTGCAGCATCCACTGTGAGGCCTTGGCCGTCAAGAAAATGCCTGAGGATTTAAAATCTGTTAGACTCTGTTGTGAATTGTATCAAGGCTTGACCAATGAATTCACATCTGCTTTGCTCGACTAAACAGGCTCACCCCTCTCACTGAAATAGTGCTTTTTATTGTTTATTTTAATTGTTGTTGTTCCTGTTGTCATTCTGTAAAATGCTTTGAAAAGCCACCTTTAAAGGTGCTATATCAAATAAAGTTTATTATGATTATATTTATTTTATGTGTGTGTGTGCGTGCGGTGTTGGTCATTGAGATTTTCTGTGGCTCCATGAAAAGATGACTTGTAGGTGGTACTTGAATGCTTTGGTTTGATCAGGGGTGGTACTTGGTCCAAAAAGTTTTAGAACCACTGGTATATATGGTTTCGTTTGTTGATCCTAACATTGAAATGCTTTTGCATTTTACCTTTAATAAACCATACATTTGGAGATGCGGAGTGCTAGCAAAACTTTGAGAGATTACATGATGTTTTTAGACGTCATAGATTTACGAAAGTAACGACAAATTAAATTGTGTCGTTCAATCAGTAAACTGGCTGTTAACTTCTTCAGGAACTCTCGATAAACTTTTTATAAACACGAAATAATGCGAGTAATCTATATTGATTCAGTGCTTAAATAATCTTATTTTTTTGCCTTACAAGGTATAAAAAAACACACAGTAAAGTGAGTTACTGTATAAGATTAATGTAAAAATCGACAGACGATATGACCAATAACTGGTAAAAAAAAAATTGATCCAAGTCCTCAAAACAATGCATTCAATAAAGGACGAGCTTACTACAGTAAATCTGACAGGATATTACATTAATTTCAATATATTGAATATATTTTTAAAGTTTTACTACGCGCGAACCAATGTGCTAAGTATTGATGCATAGGCAACTAAGCTGTGATAGGAAGGCTGTCTTTTTCATCTGGGGTTTGGAAAGACAAAAAGGCCGTTTTTAGCTTTGACTACGGAATCAGGTTGCTCCCACGTGACTCAATGGAATTTCGGTTCTGGCTCAATGTATCAATTTTCACATGCTGCGGGCTACAGTCTTTCATGCAAAGTGCGCTGGTATTTTTTTGTTCAAGACTTTGGTCTCTTTTCTACATTTTGCAATGACGTCGAATTTTTGTAATTTGAAGTAAACGAATTTTCGTTTGCTTCTGTAGAATTAATCTAATTTTCTTTTAAAAGCCGCATAGCTAAGGGACACAAATGCATTAAAACTGTGTTACCCTGCATTCGGATCAGTCCAGACACGACCTGCTCTAAGAGTGAGGTGCAAGTTACTAAAAAAGAAGCCATAACAAGTGGTGGATTTTCGTTATTTCTAGTAAACAGCTGCATCAGAAGTTTAAACAGTAATCGCTTGAGCTCTGGGTTAGTTTGTATTTAGTCGTGGATGTGGGGTTACCGCGAATAGATTTTATATCAATCTAAATGTGTTTAGTGCGGTGTAAACGTAAAACTTTGTCGACGATCTTTTCTTCGTCTGAGTTTTTAGCGGAAAAGTATTTAATTTGGATGTATGTCTAATTATGCGGTTTCGGTGTCGACTGATAATCTATACCCCATCCTGAAGTGTATTATTTAAATATTTTTGCTAGTATCTGCCTCGTTTCGCAAGAAACACATTTTCGATCTTGTTTTAACTTCTATATGTAAAGGCTGAGTCAGGAGCTCAAACGTGGAATTCCGCAATCTGTTTACGATTCGAAGCATTTTCATTCTGAATCCACCATTTTATCACGATAAGATCTAACAGTGATTTTTGCAAAGTGTATTTTATCTTCTAAGTAGAACGCTTTTTTACTTTTCCATCTCGTGGATGTTTTTATTTTTCGACCACTAACCATGGTTTGCCGGAAATTATGGGTTTGCGTTGCGGTTCTAACTGGATTTGTCACTATACCTCGAGGAATAGATGGTTAGTATATATTTATTTTTTGATAAGATAATTTGTTATTGTACAAATCAAATATTGAAATATATTTTGTGCATACTGTTATATATAAATATATGTTTCGTTGCGATACTGTGTCATATATTTGTATTGGTTTCGCAGACCGAACCCTCAATGTTCAGGCTGCTTTTAGGATTAAGCACTCATTTCAGTCATTTAATAGCTGCCTTTAGTTTTGCTTACAATGTTCCTTTTTTAATTACTGTGATTTTGAAATAAGCAGAGAGAACGCATTAGACAGTTGAATCTTAGATTAACCTCAGTTTATTTAGGTGTATTTTTCTTGAATGGATTTAAGACATTAATCAAACATATTCGGGAGATCCATTTGATCTTAATTTTTATTATTGTAGCTTTATCTTTTTAGATTTTCCGAAATTTCCTGATTTCAACCATTAAATTCTAATTGCAAATTATTTTTCGAATCCTTACTTTTATATAGTATACAGAAAACGTGGCTTTATGTTTGTGCTGTTTATGCTGCATGCCAATTTTGTTACATTAAATGCAGAATAATGACTTTCTTAGAGTTGAGGGGCGCAGCGGTGCAGGTAAAGTTTTATTAAACTTTAAGGATCTTTAGGCGATAAACTCTTCACAGAAGAATGCCACGAATTTTCATTACGGTTTCTTGTTCAATGAAAAGTTATGCTGCGAGAAATGTTTTATCCCCCTCTATATACAACCCTCACTCAGCGAAGTTGTAATGATATGAGTATGTTATGAATGAGTTGTTAGTATAAAATTTCTGCGAGTATAAGCCTGTGCTAATTTAAATATCACAGTGTTAAAATTCCTTAGAACGAAAAGGCGTGTTGACAAGTCATTTAATTGATTTGTTAATTGTTTGAAGACAACCTTTCATCAGTGTTTGTTTTCCGTTTCCTTCATTGCTCTATTCTTGGTTTCCCCTGGAATTTTGTTCTAAAATACAGAGAATTAGAAGAAATACTGATCAGTGACATTCATGGAATTTGCAGAGCGATCGAACAGTTGACCACTTATAACGTATGAGCTTAATATTAATTGCTTGTAGGACAACATTTTCGACGCTAATGTAGGTTAGCGTTTGTAATTCAAACCTTATTTACGTAGAGCACTCTACATTCAATTCGAAGTTCACTTTGAAGTGACTTGGAGCGAAAGTAAGGCATTATTACTGTAGTTTAAACATTGTGTAAAATAAGTTTTGATAAATGCTTTATAGATCCTCATCAATCATTACTTCACTGTCTTCTCAAAGAGCTTACACTTGTATATGGTACCTCAAAATAAATAAATCACTTACTATTAAAATAAATTCACAAAGTCATTATCTGAAAATCTATTTTTTTGTAGAAAATGTATTGGATTTGTATTCATTAGACATGATAGGTTAATCCATTATGCTGAATAACATTTGTCATCAACAGGACTGATCAATGAGGTGATCACTGAAAGGTACAGGCTAGTAGCATGTGTGGCCACTGTTGATGCAATACAAGCTGTACACCTCTAATGGGTGTCTAACTGAAGTCTAGTGCCGTTGCTGATAATAGTAACCCCCACTACCACTCATTTTAAAATAAACTTAACATGTCATTAATATGTAATAGGTTTATTCCATGCTGAAAAGAGAAGAAAGAAAACACAACGTTTCGGCCATGGAGCCTCCAATTTACCATAGAGTTACAGAAACACTTAATACTTATCTACAATACAGAAACAACTGAAATGAATGGCAATCACAGTACTTAAAGAATATTTATTCAATGTTCACTATTCATCCACCCATTTTCTTACTACTTCATCCAGTTTGGAGGTACCTTTCTAGGTAATTTTAAATGTGTTGCATATCTGCAGGGTCTAGTTATTTCTATATTAACTTAAAACCATTTTTGGGGGTACTTGAAGCTTTCTCCTTTTTCAGAATTTCAAATTGTTTTGTCTTTTTCCCAACAGGTGAATGTCAGTATCATGGTTCTTTGTTTGCGGTAGGTAGTTTTCTTTCTTATTGCATGTGCCTTATTTTTCCATGTTTCTTTTTACTGTTATATGATTGGCAGGTAATGATGGTTTTAGGTTATTTTTAAAGCTTGTAGTCTTAATGTAAAAAATAAGTTATCAGTGCACCATCTCAGAAACCATCTTGTACTATCAGGATTATTAAACATACAAGTGTGGATATGCTTTATAAATATTGCGTACCTACTGACTGTGATTTTTAATATGATAAAAAGATCAAGATCATTTTGTTTCATATCTGGAATTTTCGGATGCAGTTGTTTTCAGTAGCTATACACTGAAAAGTTAACGAAATTTAATACTCCTGTCAAAATGACAGCATATAATGTTAGGGAAAGACAGCACTGAAGTATTTTTAATTTGTTTAAGCCATTGTATCATATTTGCTGCCGTAGAAACATTTTTAAATTGTTAAATGAAATGGTGTACTTGTATACCAGTAAAACAATTGAATGAAAAAGAAATGTCTCTTTTCTAGACATTAAATGTAAATACTCATATTTTATTGGAAGTAGTCAAAATCCATTGTGAAAATCATGTTTCATGAAATACTCAGCATGAAATCTTCAAAAATATTTGAAAAATTATTTGAACACTTTGAGTTTTAGTATAAACAATACTTAATGTGTGAAACAGACATTTAGCAGATTGTAATATTTAATGGGAAACACTTCACCAGAAATACAATTATGCAGAGAAAAGGTATTGAAATACTGAATATTGAAATAGGCTGTGGAACAAAATTTTAATTTCTTAAGTAAGAGTAGCCAGGGAAATCTTTAATATCCTTTCACTATACATTTGAAGTAGATTTCCCACCTGAAATAAGTGAAGTAGTGCCCTCATTGTAGTGGCTCATTTGGCTTCAATTGTGGTGATGATGAAGGGGTAGGTAGGCAGGCAGGTGGAAACCTTAGCATGCTTTACCATAATCAGGAAGAGTGGGTTTTCTTCTTCACCCAGTGAAGAAACCAGCCAATCACAGAATACTAATGGTTACAATAGGTTCTTGAAATGTTTAATTCAGTCCTGTTTTCATGGTAATGAGTTAGGTCTAATTGTCTTGTTACTACAGTGAGAATCAATATATATATATGCAGCTGTTCTTGGCTTAATGCATAGAGGTAGCAGCTCATCTGTATACATGTCAGAAATCCAAAGGTTTGTGCAATGGTGTGACAACAATAGCCTAATTTTGAATGCTAAAAAAACAAAATAAATAGTTTTCTATCTCAGAGCAGTTGGTGATTACTCACAGGTAGTATTCCAGAATGAATTCGTTGATTCGTATAAGTACCTAGGTGTGCACATAGACTGTAACCTGTGCTGGTCTACTCAAAGTGTTTGCTCCAAAGTTCAGCAGCGCTTATATTTCCTGCGAAGACTAAGAGTGTTTGGGGTTTGATATGAAGTAAAGCTACTGTTGTACCATTCTGTAATCAGAAGCATTATCAGATATGGTATTTCAGTGTGGTTTGGTAATCTTATCAGTTCATTTTAAATCACAAATTACCCGCCTCATCCAGAAAACTTTGAAGGTCATGGGAGTGAAACAGCACCCCTCCCTGCAGACAATCTTTGAAAAATCCATAATCAAACAGGCAGGAAAAATTATATTAGATCCTTCCCACATCCTCAACTCTGAATATCAACTTCCTTCTGGCAAAAATTTTAGGGTTCCCAAATGTAAGTCAAACAGATACAAACATTCCTGTGTTCCACTATCCATTAAAGCTGTTAACGCAAATGTCAAGGATAAACACAATTTTGACTCTTACAACCCACTTGAGTGCAATGTTTTGTGATTTTATAAATGTTGGTATGTGTTATACTGTACGTGTGCAATGTTTTTCTTATTTTTTGGAATAGTATAACGTGCAATGTTTTTCTTTTCTTCTCTTCTTTGTTTTTGCATTCTATTTAAATGTACAGGAGTGTTGGGTGTCCATAAAAAATGTCCCTCAGGGGACAATAAAAATCTTATCTTATTAAGTAAGGAATCTCTAGGTTTTGTGTGCTCAGAATGATATTATGAAAGGCTACTGTATTTAATAGAGAAAGACGTATATACAGTGGTGCTAGAAAGTTTGTGAATTTCAGAATTTTCTGACTTTCTGCATAAAATTGACCTAAAATGTGGTCAGATCTTTATATAAGTCATAAAAATAGAAAGAGAACCCAATAAAACAGATAACACACACAATTATATCATTTTTTATTCATTTATTGATCAAAATGATCCAACATTAAACTTTAAGGGGATAATCAGTCAGGAGTGTCAACCAATGAGTTTGGGTGGCCCTGCCCTATTTAAAAAAACAAAAACTTGAGTCTTCACTACCAAAGTCTGGTCTTCACCTCACAGGTTTGTGAATGCATGCCATGCCTCGAGCAAAGGAGATTTCTGAGGAGCTCAGAAAAAGAGTTGTCGATGGTCATCAGGCCAGAAAAGGTTACAAAATGATTTCTAAAGACTTTGGCAGATAGTGTTCAAATGGAGAAAATTCAACACCATTGTTACTCTCCTCAGGAGTGGTCATCTAACAAAATTCACTCCAAGAGCAAGGCGTATAATATTCCGGGAGATCACAAAGAACCCCCAAAGAATAGTGTGCATGGGAGGACAGCAAGGAGGAAGCCACTACCAATATGCGGGACTGATCAACAGTTACCGTAAACATTTGCTTGAAGTCATTGCTGTTCAAGGAGGTCACATTAGTTACTGAAAGCATAGGTTCACATACTTTTTCCGACAAAGACATTTAATGTTGGATCATTTTGATCAGCAAATGAATGAAAGAGTATATCCTTTTGTGTGTTATTTGTTTTATTGGGTTCTCTTTATCTATTTTTATGAGTTAGACGAAGATCTGGTCACATTTTAGGTTAAATGTATGCATAAATTCCGAAAATTCTAAGGGTTCACAAACTTTCTACCACAACTGTAGAAGGGATAGCTGATAACTTGCGTTCAAAGTGCACTTAGAATCTTTAGAATAATTTAAAAAATAACCAAGGCATACTTGGTCTCTCTTAATAAAAATACCTCTTACATGCTAGGCTTACATAACCTGTGGAATTAGCACAGATGTTGTTATTTATTAAAGTAGAAAAAAGTCAAGTCAAACAATTGAGCCTCAATAACTATTATAAAAAAGAAAATGGAGGTTATGAATTTAGACCTGTAACTTGTAATTATTAATGGACTAAGCTGCAGTAAGGTGAGAAATTTAGCATAATTTGTCTGTTCATTATTTCTAATTGGTTATGCTTATGTTCCATTCTGTAGCTTGTCATGCACAACTTGCAACTTTGCATTCAGATGATGGATTCCTTATAAATTAGACACAGATTCCTAATATTTCTTTGCAAGCATTTTTATCTCCAGGGTTTAAAGTATAAGCTACAGTTAAAAATTGTATGCTAAGATTGATATTTTTTAACAGAAATACTGCAAATGAAACATGGTTTTGTTTTGACATGAATTCACACATTTGATTAGTTACTGCTTGTTTTTATGATATGTAGTAATAATAGCTATAGTTCCTAGACTGGCAATGTCTAACTTTGTAGTACTGCACCAGTAGGTGAACATGGTAAAGTGGGAAAAAAAATTCACAGTTTTTACAGTGAAAACTATTACAGAAGCCCTATAGAATGAAACGGCAGATATGTTTTTCTCCCAAGTAAGATTATACATGCTGCACTGCACATTTTAATGATGTGAAAATAGTTGTCAGTAAAAATATCACCCAAGCAAAACCTTGTCAAAATATATAAAACCCAGTGCCTTACTTTATTGCATTGAGTGATTCAACAAATGAAAGCTAGAAAGTTCAGAATGATAGTTGATGTGCACAAGTGGGAAGACTAGACAAAAAGTCAGACTAGCTTGCTGTGAATTTTTGTTTTGCTGCCCTGATAGCAAAAACAAGCTGTCATTCACTGAAGTTTGACCATTCAGAGTCTTAGGGGAGGATTATACATTGCTTTGGAGACTGTATCAGGGAAACAAAACACAGGTCTTTTGTCTCTGCCTCTCAATCAAGTGAACATCAAACAAAATGATCTTTTTCTTATCTCATCACCTTGAATCCTACAAGCAAAAAAAAGTTTTTATAGTGTAAAACCCCATAACATAAGTCCTTTAGCACTGCTTGAAGTTCAAGAGGTCTGTGTAGTACAGCATTAAAGGTTCATATATTGTATGTGCTTTTGTAATATAGTCCTCATATTAAGTGTTTAACTCACTGAATGTTATTAGTATTTGGAAAGTTACTTTTAAAAAGTATCTCATTACCATTGCAAGTTATTAGTGTGTGGGATAACTTTTGTTATTTTTTATTAAACCAGTGAAAAATATGGGAAATATTCACTTTAAGTAAATTTTATCCTGTAGAAGTCAGTATATGAATGCCTATCCCTTTGAGATGATAACTGCATAAAGTCCAATTGAGCTGTCCAGTCAACTGCCTTGGCCATTGTAAGATTTTCCCATTCTTTCTCCTGATGTACTCCTTGGTTGCATTGACTGTATGTTTTTGGTCACAGTCATGTTACATTGTGAAGCACCAAACCAATAACAAAGAAACATTTTTGTTTCCATAAGCAGCAAAAATGTTCTTATAATCCTTCTGTTTCTGTAAATCATTCTGCTGCTACCGTCAGTAGTTACATTATCAGTATAGATGAGTGGGACTGTTCGAGAGGTGGCAGTGCTTGCCCAGGCTAGGTCATGTTTCACAGAAGAGAAGGTGGACTTTGGATCAATAACTTGTCTAATCTGTCCATTAAACCTTTGTCTAAAACTATCCTGGCTTATCTTTATCAGAGCAAATACTGAAGTACAATGAAAGTAGTTTTATGGTCCCAGTAATTTTGGAGGGAAACGCAGGACATCTCTGCTATAATGAGCACATTTCTTCTGTTATAGGATAATAATGAGATAATAATAATAATAATAACAATA